TTTAAAAAATTGTTATTATTCTATGAGCCTTGTCTAGAGCCTGTCACAGACTCGAGATGAGAATCATCAGGGTACAGGAGCATACTGGACACAGGGTACTGGAGATTCATGAATAACTGGACAGCTACTTTCTACAAAAGGAGATGTGAATTTAAAGAAAGAAAAAATATACAAGTACCTACATGCCAGATGGACCTTTCCAGCTTGCTCCAGATTGTGGTCTACCACTATAAACAGACAGCTTGAAATTTTCCTTCCCCCTGAGTTACGGGATCAAATCTTGTCAGCACAGGTTTGTGATTCATCTTCCAGGTTGAGGCAATGAGCTCCACAGAGTTAATTGTGAGTATTACCAACAAAGTGTCTGTGGTTCATTTCTTTCTGAATGGCAATTAAAAAGCATATTAATGCAAATTCTAACATTTGGGTGGGGTCTGGGTTTGTTTTCTCCATTTCCATTAGCACATTAAGCCACTCTATTTCAGGACAGTTTTCCAGAAACTCATCCAGCAATTCACAGCTGATATGCCACTCAGGGTGAGCCACATGACCTACAAAGATACTTGGAATAAAAATGTATATAGAGGTAGACACGAAGTTAACTTATGGCTGAACTCTACTTTGTTAGGACATAGTCTAGTGATGTTAACAATGTTGTATAAATATTACAGCCTAAAGAAACCAAAAAGTAAGAGATTTCTCAAATACCAGAATTAAAAATAGTTCTGGTCCTTTAAAACTCCTCTTATAGCTTTCTCTGTTGAAAGCATTCCTTTAAAAAGACAGCATATTCCCACAGAAGCCACAGCTATTTTCTTTATACAAAGAATGCTAAGAAAAGCAGGTTTTAATTCCACATGTCTAAACTGCAGTCTCTAAAATCAGAGGATATTAGCCTAAAACACAGTTTACTGTGCTACAGGTACCTGGCCAGGCAGTGTTCATTTCAATGGATATTATTTGCCACTTAAAACACTGCCCAAAAATTTTCAATCCAAGTACCTACAAATCCCACTAACAAGAGTGGAAGTCAAAGTACAGGAGAAACAACCTCTATGCAGAATCTGGTTTCACAGAAGGCAGGATACACTGATTTCTTTCTCATTTCAGGACAGACTTGACAAATAAAGCAAAAAATTACAAGATTCAACACATGCATTTGAAGTTGGATAAAACAGGAAATAAAATATCATTGCTTCCAACCATCCTCAGTTACTTCCTAGCAAACACACATTCACTTTCTCTGAGTTTTCAATTAGTACACATAGGCAAAACTAGATTTAAGTGTGCAAAGTACTCAAATGGAAAACTAACTGGAAGCATGCTCCACTTTCATTTCATGTGATTTTTTTTAAACTTTGTTCACAAACACAAGCTCGAGATAGATGCAAACAATTTTCACTACCTGCCAGAAGTGTTTATTGGCTGCAAGCACACAAGTGAAATTAAATGGTACTGCTGAAGGAAATCTTAAACACTGCTCAAGAGAAACAGCATATCCCTAGGCAAAAAAAAGCTCATGAGGTGAAAGAAAAGTGGCACCATCACTGTCTTGGCTCAAACATCCACTGACACTATTAATCATCAGTTAAGAGATCCTTACCACCTGTGACACAGTCAACTGCAACTTACAACCTTGATTTGTCCACAGCACTACATACAGTCATCCTCAATTACAAGCCACACAACAGCAGCTGCTCCTGCCTCACATGCTCAACAGGAAAAAAAAGTTTTTAGTTTTCTCAAGACAGAAAGCCTATACAGACTTTTTCATGCACTTCCTGCAATGTTATACTTCACTTTTCTTCCAAAAAATTGATAAAATTATTGCATTGCTTTTAGTTGCATTATTGTCACTATCTAGTTCATATATTTCAACTATTAATAACTTTTTTTAAAGAACATACATGGCTAAGCTGCAAAGAAAAGTACAACAAACCTGTACATCTCAAAACTACTGCTTTGCTTAATCTCCTACTACTGTAAGCAGCCAGGAGGCTGAATTTTCCCTGTATTCAGCACCATTTGCCAGTTCCTGTTCTAGCACAACCCACAGGGGATACTTGCACTCCAGTATCTCCTGTGATATGTCTGTGCCTATATTAGAGGCAGACCACATTCTCTGACTGAAGGTCTGCCTAGTATAAATGCTTGCAAAGGTGGTTTGACTAGGAAAACAACCACAGCAAAATACAGAACAGTGGCAGCACTGCAAAGCGTGGCAAAGAGGGATTCTGTGAGGACAAGTCATAAGTGCTCAAAATGAATGAGGATACTCATGTTACACCCAGGACTGCTATTGAGCTTGGGACAGCATCAGGAGCTTGCCAACCCAGCAAAGCCCCCATCAGAAGGAAAAACCCTGCAGTCTCATAAACTGCCTATAACATATTTGAAAAGCCATCAAAACTAAATTTCTCCAATTCCCAACACACACACAATCTAGATATAACAAAGACTAGCACTGTCCCCAAGAACAGCAGTAGGAACACGTCCTCCCTCCAGAACCGCTAAAATAGGCTGCTTAGCTAAGCACTAAGTCTTGACCACAAAACACCAAATCATGCCTTTTTGGAGGTCTTCTCTTTTATTAGGCTGTCCAGAATTTAATATACTGGAAATAATAGTGTTACAGAACATAGAATCAAGTTGGATCCCTCAGTCTTGCAAATTATGCTAAGAAGTGATACCCATTTATAAATATATCTGAGTGTTGCAGAAGAATGAATCCAAAAGTTAACTGCAGGATTTACTCTGAAGGATATTCCTGGTCCAGGGCGCTGTCAACAAAACCACAGCCAAAAAAATTAGAAGATTGAGGATGTCCTGAAAATGCAACTTCCACTGCTATGAAAGAGACTTCCTGCAGTCAGATGCATGCTTCAGTTGACCATGGAAAAAGCTTCCAGAAGGGTATCATCAGGTCTATGACCAACATCAGTCACTTAATAAACAACAGTTAGAGCACTGATGATGAATTTATTTCCATCTTGTAAGAAGAAAGGCTTTCTGCAAGTTGCAGGTCGTGAAGTAGCAATCCACTCACTTCCACAAAACCAATGTTTTTCTGGAGCAGAAAAGGCAGTACATTTACTGGTCCATTATAAAACATGATGACCCACTACAATAGAGCCTTGGCCTTTCAGTTGATTGCTTATGGATTATTTACAGCTCAGCAGACTTTGGGTCAAAAGTGACAGAAAGCATTGTAACAACACTTCCTGCCTGCCTCCCTCTCACGCACACACAGGTACGTCACAGCTCAGCAGCTGGGCTCAGTAAAAAAAGTTTATTTTCAAACAGAGCATACAGGTGTACATTTACAAGCAATACTATGGAGAATCAACAAGGATAGCAGCAGAGTGACTGACAAAGTTCTCTCACTCCTCTGCTTCCACAGGCACCAAACCCAACCAAACAATGCAGACAGCAGTGTTTTGCAGCCACCACCTGCACCTTCAGTTTTCCAGCAGTATTCATGATCAGACTAGCCATTTGTGTCATCTTAAGGAGCTTCATATGTACTATCTATCCTCACCAAGCTGGCAATGACAAATGCTGAAGTCCCATCACACATGCTGGGACAGCTGCACACAGGACACACTTTGAAGTTTACTTCAGATGTTCTCTTCTAAGAGCTTGACAGTCAGACCTTACCAGACAGTGTCCTGCACAGTTTTATTCAGGACTTCAAAGGCTTCATGACCTCAGCTTGAACAAAGCAATCCTTTTTGCACAAGAACTACAATTCTGTTCCACATGCTGTTTAACAGTTTTCTCTTTCATTCATATTCTGATTTCCACTTAGTTTTCAGTCATCCTGGGACTCCATGACAATTCCAAAGCCCCTGCCATGGCCAGGGACACCATTCACTAGAACAGCTTACTCAAAGCTTGAACACTTCCAGGAATGAGGCAGACAAAATTTCTCTACAGAACCTGTTTCAGCAACTCACTGGTACCACAGTAAGAATTTCTTCCTTGATAATATGTAACGTAAACCTACTCCCTTTCAGTCTGAAGCCACTCCTCCTTGTCCTGTCACTACACGCTCTAGTAAACATCCCTTCTCCATCTTCCTTGTAGGCTCCCTTCAGGTACTGGAAGGGCACAAATAGGTCACCTCAAAGCTTTCTTTCTTCCAGGCTGAAAAATCCCAATCCTCTCTGGCTTTCCTCGCAGAAGAGCTGCTCCACCCCCTCTAATGATCTCCTCAGGACCCACACCAACAGGTCAATGTCCTTCCTGTGTTGGGGATCCCAGAGCTGGATGCAGGTAGAAAAAAAATCAGATATAAACTAGGTTTGATCCCATCCCTGCATTATTCAAGTCTAGAGCACCTCAGGAGCCAGCCCTGATGTGAGCCACAAGTGTGAGCCCCAGATGTGCGCTGTCATCCCATTTGCATCCCTTACCGTGCACAAATCTCATCTATTCAAGTGAAAGAGATTGTTGCAAATGAGTGAGGACTCTGAAAATATCCATCCTACTGTTTCTTCACAGCTCCAAAAGTTTAAGGAACAAGAGTTGATCACACCCACTTGTGCTGAGAGTGAGAAACCCCGCTGCTATAAATACAGCTTTGACTGAAATCCTCAAAACAAAAGGCCTTGCCTGCCACTTAGGATATGTCCACTGAATGCACAAAAAAGACTCTGGGCTGACTATTCAAGTACCTTTGAGAGCTTGGAGTTCATCTCGGGTCACAAGATGCTCAGAAACTCACCCATCCAGAAGCCACCCGTGAATATTCCCCTCTTTACATATTACAGATACACCAATTCCCACGAGAAACCCTAATTCAATTTTACTTCCTACTAGTTTCCAAAGGCATTTTTTCCCCCAGTAAAATGCACTCCCCTGCGGGAGCTGCCTGGCATGGGGCCAAGGGCACCAGGGCGGCACCTCCGGCCCAGCGCGGCCAGCCTGCGGCCGTGCCCGCCCTTCGCCTGCGGGACGGCACCTGCCCGGCCCGGCCCGGCCCGGCCCGGCGCACTCACCCAGAAGAGCAGGTTGAGGGCGTAGAGCAGGCAGCGCAGGCACTTCACCGAGTCCTCCCTGGCCATGGCGAGCCCCCACGGGACACAGCCCCATCCTCTCACCACATCCTCCCTCCCGAGGCCGGGCCGCCGGCGCCCTGCAGGAGAAGAGGGGGAGAAAGGGAGAGGGTGGGTGAGTCCGCCTTACAGAGGGACCAGCGCGCAGGTGGAGGCGGCGGAGCCGCGCCGAGCCCGGACCGGCCGCGCCCCGCGGAGACCCCCGGCAGCCTCCCCTCCCCTCCCCTCCCGCCCGCCCGGAGACAGCGAGGGGCGAGCTGTTCTCATAAAAATAATACATGCGCGGGCAGGGAGAAGCCGCGGGCTATCCCAGGGGCACAGCGGGGCTGAGCTGAGGGCAGCGGAGGCACGGCCCGGGGACGCCAGCTCCCTCTCAGCCCAGGATGGACGCGCTGCCCGGGGGAGGCAGGGCGGCCGTGGGACAGCGGCCACTTACCGCCCGGACGCCTCCCGCACTCACTTGCTCCGGCGAGCACTCATGGGGCCGGGGCGCGGCAGCGCAGCGCGGAGCCGCGGCGCCCATTCCCTGCGGCGGGCGCGGGGGAAGGTCCGGTCCCGGCGAAGGTCCGGCCCGGCCCGGCCCGGCCCCGCGGCTGCCCCCGCCCGCAGCGCTCCGCCAGCCCGCGGCACCCGCGCATGCGCCGCCGTCCCCCCGGTCCTAGCGCCGCCGCCAGCGCCGTCCGGGACCGGAGAGACCCTGGCGGGGCCGGGCAGGGCTGTGCCTCAAGCGGGCTGTGCCTTAGGCGGGGCTGGGCAGGGCTGTGCCCCCGGTGGGGTGTGCCGCTGGCACCCACGCTTGTGCCACCCTCGTTGTGGCGGGGCTTCGGAGCTGGTGGCTTTTCCTTCAGGGGAGATGTTAAGCGATGGGCTGACTGGAGTTGAATGACATGAAGCCTCCTCTCTTGTGACACGTTGGCCCAGGGTGGCACATGCCACACGAAAGGCGTTTGCAATGTTTCACAAGGTTCCAGTGTCTGTGCTGGAAATTAAACTCTGCCAACATCAAAGCCAAATCTCGTCATTTACAGCCCAGCACCCACTCCCTTTGCTAAACAGCAAATCTAGAAAAGCAATCGTATTGGAGAGATATTATTCTAGAAATGGTCAAAATCTGTAGTTATTTAGGAAAAACGGTCATTGACTCGCCCCGTAATGTATGTGGAACTTAGAAATGACACAACTGAGCTGAAAAAAGTCATCCTTCTGAAATCCATTAGTGTCTGTGCGCATCTGGTGATGAGGATAGGAATTCTGTAGAATCTCAGGATGGGTCGGGACCTTAAAGCTTATCTAGTTCCAGCCTCTCTTAACCTTGCAGCTCATCTAGTTCCAACACCCTCCAAAAGGCGTTCTGCTCCTCTGCGGCCAACACCTTTCACCAGGTTACTCAGAGCAGCCTTGAACACCTCCAGGGATGGGACATCCACAGCTTCTCTGGGCAACCTGTTCCAGTGCTTCATCACCTTCACAGTAATGAATCTTTTCCCCAATATGCAGTCTAAACCTTCTCTATTTAATCGATACTGAATTCTATATTGTTACAATGTGTGTGTATATATATACACACATATTTCAAAACTAAGAATTATATTTAAAACTCGGAGTTATATGCAGATTAGTAACAAATTTTCCATTAATACATATAAAGGTGTTTATATAATACATATAAAGGTGTTGCAGTACCACCATCACAAAAATTAGAAGAAAATATACTGAAAATTATTTCTTAACTAGAACAGGAAAATACTCAAGTTCATGATATACAAAGATTGTTTTAACAACTGCTAGTTAAAGCTGAGAAAGAGGAAAAATTTTATGCATTACATTTTATGTAATGCATAAAATCTAGCTCTGGTAATGCCAAAGAAAAATCTGTTTCTTGAAGAAACAATGGCTTTTGTTGAAAAACTACACAAAATCCAGATATTCAAATGCTTATCACTGAAGCTGCTGGTGTAATCTCAATTCAGTTTTAAATTCACTGTTTGATGCTTTCATGGTGAGCTGGGGCAGTCTTCAGGTGTATTTGCTCCTCCTTAAAAAGAAAGTTAAATGAACATGGAAGGACATAAAATCCCATGCAACAGGGATTTTATGACAAATTTATATAAGTGCAAATTGTAGTTAAGTTGAAAATAGTTAAGTATATTGCAGAAAAGTGGTGTGTGAAGATTTTTGCTCCTCGCAATTAGCTAAGCTTTAACTGCTATTTTGAGCCTCTGTGAAATCAGGAGCCTGTCTGGGAAGTGTAGTAGCCACATTTAAAATCTTCAGTGAATGTTGATAATTCCATACCTAAATAAGCCAAATTGAGCAACAACAGATACTGTTAAAAGGTGACATTGTACATTCATTCTGCTGTTTACATACCATTCATTCTTTTTATTACTACAGACTTCACATGAACACAGTCAGTTAGATCCTGAACAGGTATGGTATTTTCAGTGAATCTATGCCAGTTTACAAAAACAGTGTCAGTTTACAACTGAGCTCCAGCCTTAGCTAAGAATGATCCAATCTGATCTAAGCCAACATAAAAATAACTCAGGTTGTGTTTGTGTTATTAATTGTTCCTGGGAAGACAGCAAATTGCTTGAGCAAAATTTTATAAAAAATGCACTACAAAGATATTCCGTTATCTTACACTCAGGGATTTTTCTTTAAACATGCCTAAAATAGCATACAAGAAGTTCTCTTATTCATTTGAGATATTTTTTGGCTTAGAGTAAAAATATTCCTAAAGTGTGATAATGAAATTAAGAAAAAAGAAAATCTTAGACATCTTACATGTTAAAAATCCTGCTAAAAATGGCACTTCAAGATTTTGTCTCTGAGTTTTGATTCTTTGAGGTCTTTGGTCATAAGCTGCTCTCAGACTGATTTTTTTTAATTCTGCTGCAACAACTTCATCACAAATATAAAGAGGGTCTCCTAGTTGATTAAGCAATTTCTCTGTCATATTTGTTGTTAGCTAAAAGATTAGCTGTCCAGAAGAGATTTTGCTCAAAATCTAAAGAAAACAGGTCCTATTTATGAATGTCTGCTCAACTCTATAGGGGAAAGAGCAAGGTCTCTTTGGAATACTGCTTTCCACCAGGCTGTCAAACTTTGGGATATTTCCGTGATGTCAGCACTGGGAAAGAAATACACAGGCAGTTCCCATACATTCTAAAGAGTAACCTGTTTATTTAGGGAAAGACAAGAGAGTATTTTTTACAAACAGAAGTGTAATGGTGGAGCTCTTTATAAGTTTTTGAAATATGTGTTTGCTGTTAGCAAGTAATGCTTATTTAATGCACAGAGCCTTATGAGCATGGAAAGCCTTGTGGATTGGTATTTTTGCTTGGATTCTCAGATGCCTAATAAACTACAATCTGAGAGACTTCTTTTTCTGTCACAGGACATCTGCAATAGCTTTCCAATATGAATTCTCTAGACTTAAATAAAATGTTCATGATACAGTCTTTCCATCAATGACAGAAGAGGGGGATGGGAATTCAATTAATTCAAATAATCTCTTTCCTCTGCTTATCTGCCTATTTCAATTTGATGGAAACTTAATATCTGTAAGTTATATCTGTAAGCTCCTTTGTCAGATGTGCTTGAAATTAGCCAGCAGGTTCAAAATCTATTAGAAGGGTGTGGTTTGATAGACATTTAGTGTGTGTGAATGCAACAGTATGGTTTTGTAAGCTGCTCCTCATCAGGGAACCTGAATAAAAGAGCAGTGGATACTAAACACACCCATCTAGCACATTGCTGAAAGTGTGTTTAATTTAAACTCCATGATAAAGTGGAATAGCATTAGGCATGCATGTAAATTTATAGGTGACAATTACCTGTTAATATTTGCCAGGAAACTTCATCACTGAAAAAGTGATTAGTTAAATAATGACCTTTTGTATGCCACCACAGCATTTAAAATTACTCAGGTGAGCAGTGAACTGAGGAACATACACATGGGTGTGCTTTGGCACATAGTCATTTTCATTCTGTGATGTATCTACTCTACTTGGTCAACTCCAATGAAGAAATTGTTCATGGACAGGTTTATTTCCAAGATTTTAGTATAAGCTAGAAATATCTTTGGTGGCACCATGGTAGTTCTTAATGAGTTAACAGTTTTTTCCCAACACATTGTCTGTTAGGCATGGAAATTCTGTGATCCCTTTAATTTCCATGGTATTTGTAAAGTTTCAAGGATAGTTAAGCGATTCCTTTTTACAAATGGCTTTTTCATTCCAAGTCCCTGCTAGGTATAGCCTGGGCAGGCAAATTCTATAACTGACCTCTGCCTGCAATGAGTACCTTGCATGACTAACAGCGTCAACACTGAGTTCAGGATGGATTTCTCAAGCTAGCTTGTCAGTGTTTCAGGTAGGCATCTCATCACTTGGTCTTGCCTTCTCAGTCTTTTACTTGATTGTAATGGTATTCTGTGCTCAGCTTAGCTCTTTCTCAGCTTTGCTCCAAATCTGTGGGCTCTTTAGACTCAGAATTACTTAATTCTCTTCCCTTTGTCCTTTGAGCTGTTTTCTCTAGAACCCTTATCTCTATGTTTCTCTTCTTCTGCTCTTTGCTTGATACCTTTCTTAACTTCACTGGGGTCTGGTTTGTCTTGCTTTTAAACTTGGTTCTTGTCTGGTCATCAGCTCTGGTTATGACCTTGTGCCCAATGAATATGCCTCTCTAATGACAGGTTTAACGTCAAGCACAGGATGAAGGTTTGTTTAGGAAAAGAAATTATCAGATACACAAACATCTTTAAAATGGAAGGTGTTCTAGTTGGCTCAGGAATAGCCTGTATTGTAAATGCATGTTTGTAACAGAACCCAGCATTGCTACCATGAGGTAGAAGTTCCCTTCTTTCTTTTGAAACTAAGACATCAAAAGGCACCAACTTTCTCCTGTATCCAGAGCTTGGTTTTACTTGAACATGTAAACAATGGTCTGGAATAAGGGAGCACTTGAAATTAATCAAATGCAGATTAACAAGATTAAGTAATTAAAACCATAGTCTTGGAAACACTTTGGTTTAATGGGCTCTTGAAAATGGTCTTCACTGCTTTCTAGCTCCAGCAGGATTTTTTCTGGGATCTAGATGGATAAATCCCTGAGCAACATGATCTGACCTCACAGCTGGTCCCTTCAAACCTAGGTTAATCTCTAAACCTGTGTTTCTGCCTATTTCCTTTCTTTCACCTGTCCTGGCCATCAGTATCCCTCTAGAATCTCCTCATGGTCACACTTTGACTGGGGAGGACTGTCCTCCTTCTTGTTTAACTAGAGGACAGCAGCAGCAGTGACAAGGCAAACAAGTGTCCCTATGTTGGGGACCCCAGGTCTGTATGGGATATTATGGATGGGGTTTCACCAGAGCATAGTAGAGGGGCAGAATCCCCTCCCTCAGCCTGCTGCCCATACTCCTTTTGATGCTGCCCAGGATACATTTGGCTTTTTGGGCTGTGAGCATACACTGCCAGGTAATGTTGATCTTCTTGTCCAACAGTGCCCCAAAGTCCTTCTTCCCGGAGCTGCTCTCAATTCCTTCTCTTCCCAGCCTCTGTTTATGCTTG